GTGCGAAGATGCGTTTTTTGCATGATTCCCCGCAGTTTTTGTTGCTACCGGCACTGGTTTTTTCGGTAAACGCTTCTAGCTAAACAAATTAAGACTGGCCGCCAGAACTGTCAGAAAATATCCCCCTAAAATTTCAGCTTTCTAGCTTCCCTGGCACCTGAGTTGACAACTTACTGGAACAACACTTTCACGGGCCCGTGCATGTTTACCAAGCACATCTGAAAGCTGGGTTCGAGCCGAATGAAACTTAGGTGGACGGGTATATCCTCTTAAAATTACATTCCTTTAGCTTCTCAGGTGCTTGAGTTATCAATTTATATGAAAAAAATTTTGGCGAGCCCGTATGTGGGTACCACGCTTACCCGGAGGCTGGGTTTGAGCCCACTAATACCCGCTTGGGCGGGGAATATTACTGCAAGAATTAAACCTTCTAGCTTCTCAGATCCCCTAGTTACGAACTTGCCCGAAAAAAATTTTGGCGGGCTCGTACGCGGGTACCGCGCTTATCCGGGGCTAGTTTTGAGCCCACTAATACCCGGCTGGGTGGGGAACATTATCCCAAGATTTCAGCGTTCTAGCTTCCCAGATCCTCGAGTTGTGAACTGACCCCAAAAATGGCGGGCCCGTACGCGGGTACCACGCGAGTTTTGGCGCCCATTTTAGGGATTGGGGGCGGCACGTGCATGTAGATTAAGTTCCCGAAATTTCAGCTCCGCAGCTTTTATAAGTCCTGAGATGAAAGTGCGTGAGAGACGCATACACAGACACACAGACGCACAGACACACGGACACACGGACAGCCTCTCGTCAATATGCGTTTTTCGCATTGCATTGCTGCAAAAAACGCATAAAAAGGGAGTTGCACACGTAGATGCTCAGGTCTACCAAACGAAACGAATTAAAAAAGTCTTGAACTTGGATTTTTGCACCGATCGTACATTGGAACTCCACGCTTACTCGCCGTTAGCAAAGTAAGTCTGTTCAACAGTTGATTATTCTGCGTAAATGATAATGACAAAGATGTGCTTACCGCAGTCCAGTCGAGCGCCGAAAATGATATACGTTATAAAGCTAGGCATCCAATATCTGTCGCATTCACACTGCTTCGTATGGTTGTTACACGATCCGTGACCTGAGCAGCTACGTGTGCAAACTAAAAATAACTACAAATTAATTGAAGCAAAAATCCGGAAAGCTTCTCATTGTGGATTTTAACTCACCATCGAAAAACACCGAATTTTTCTTAGATTACGTCTGATATATTTTTTTTTTCTAAGTTGACCTAGAACAGAACTGCCATTCGCTTACTGCTCAAGCATTTCTCGGAACAAAAACCTCCAATAATACGACCAAATTGCGGCTGCTACTTTGGAGTGTTTCAATCTCTCACAAGAAATGCAGAATGTTTTAAATTCTAAGCATTTGCGTTGCAACACTTCCATAACATGCATGTTCTCATGAGTGTATGTGGGCAACTACTAGAATTCGGTTCAAGTCGAACCACTTCAGCATGTGTCCTGAGTACAAACGTATCAAATGCTCAACTTCCAACACGGCATTTACACCCCAATAGCACAGGGCAATCTTTCTATAGCATGGAAATATGCAAAAACACACAACTGCACCGGCAAGCCAGTTGCATCGCTACTGCATGAGTCAAAAGTAACACTGGTAAATGTGCCAGTGGTTCCCTCTGCCGCAGACTGTTTAATAAACATGCAAAAGCAAATTTGACGAAAATGATCAATGCAAACAGGCGCAAAACCACGGCTCTAAATCCCTTATATACGTAGTGAGATTAAAACTCCATCAAGCTGGTTAAAAGCCTACCGCGATAAAAACCACTAATCTTTCATAGGTTCGCTGATCTCAAATATAAAATAAAGCTTAAATTAACTGCCACAAACTGAGGCTCAAAACCGTATCGAATTTGAAGCAAAAGCTTATCATTTATTTAGTCTCTAAATCTTATTTCCCAAATGAAAAACTATAACGCTTACACAGTGCATCGATGGAATCAATGCTGAATTCCGTTATCATATTCGTTTCCGATTTTAAAATCTTTACTACTTTCGTCGCATCGACCACTGGTACCTGATGATTCCACTGCTGTGAAACCTCACGCATTTCCACTTCTTCAACATCGACAACTCTTTTAAATATTTTTTAAAATTTTGTATTTATCCCTAAAGGGCGGAGTAAAACTGGGAGACCGCGAAACAATAAGTATGCGAACCCATGAGGATGCTACTGAAGCAATGCAAATCAAAAAAACTTGATGGTCTACGAAAATATGCAGAGATGACAGACAGATGAAGCGGAACAATACATGTCAAATAGACAATAGCAAATGAATATATTAGGAACCGCGGCTTTTAAAATGAGTCCTGAAGTCCATTTGAATGACCGCGCAAAGCTGCATGAGAGCAGACAGTTTCAAACAGGACGAAACAGACAAGTCCCGCTGCACAATCGACGGCAAAAGGAAATATGGTGGAGAGAGAAGCTTTCTTAAGTACTAAAGTATTACTTGGAACAATCTTATTATTAGCATACTCGGTGTGAAATACAACCCGTATTCTGCCAGTGGTCGGATCCTCTGCAATCGCTGAGAACACAATCGCCACATTATCAGCTTCAGCGATCTTCAAAAAAAAAAAAAAAAGAACAGGAATCAATGACAACAGTTCGAAGTAAGTATGCGCATTTAAAGTGCGGTCAACTTTTCAAGACTCTAAAAGAATTAAGATTTTTAAATATTCAGTTCAACTTTCGCTTCTTACTTACGACAGTCCAATTTTAACAGACTACCAAACTGAATATTAAAATCAGACCGCATGTTAAAATCATTGGAGTACCTCGCCGCGATACAGGAATAATAAAGTTCGAAGGGAGACAACGAGTTCAACACATATCACGCACATTCGGAAACGGTTAACGCCTGGCCTCGCGTTTCTGTTACGAAGGCGTCGAACAAGTACGAAGGCTTCAGAATTATCAAAGGTCACCCATCATGCGATGCAGCACTGGCCAAAGCAACTGGCAAAAGTCCCTGCATAGTCGGAGAAAGACTATATATCAGCAGCCGTTATGCTTGACAACGGATTTGACAGTAAATCCATTCAACTTTTATTACCTAAGTAAGCTTGATCAATCAAAAATTTTTTTTAAAAGTTTGTCTTTTTAAAAAAGAGTGCTATGCTCCAACGAATCCAGCGCATCCTAGTCACACAACAATTTTGTTTAGTCTGTTAATCCAGCGCCTAAAAACGGATTTGACAGTAAATCCATTCCACTTTTATTACTTTCCACATTCGTTATTATGCGTTTTTTGCAGCTATGCAATGCAAAAACGCATATTGACGAGGGGTTGTGTATCCGTGTGTGCGTCTGTCACGCACTTTCATCTCAAGACCTATAAAAGCTGCAGGGCTGAAATTTCGTACCGGCCCCAACCTCCAAAATGGACGCCATCACCCGCGTGGTACCCGCATACGAGCCCGCCAAAATTTTTTTCTGGCATGTTCACAACTTAGAAATCTGAGAAGCTAGAACTCTGAAATTTTAGGGGGATGTTCCTCGTCGAAGTGGGTATTAATAAGCCCATAACCAGCCCCGGGTAAACGTAGTACCCGAGTACGGGCCCGTGAAAGTTTCTTTCGAGCAAATTGCTAACTCGGGAACGTGAGAAGCTAGAAGACTGAAATTTTGAAGGAATATTTCCTGACGGTCCTCGCGGTCAGTTTGAAATTCTTTTAGTTAGAAGCATCTGCCGGAAAAAACCAGTGCCGTTAGCGACAAAAACCTGCGGGGAGCTATGCAAACGTAGGCTGGAACGCACCAGGCGAGCCGGAGCGATCATGCGTTTTTGCACAAA